TTTCAAACTGTGTCAAAAAACTGAAAACAACAAAAAATGGAGATGCAAGGTTTTGTTCTGACAGCAGCAATATATTACTCTGCTGATTTAAATCTATTCTGGGTATTTGAAAAAATGTGGTGTTCAGTCTTCTTGAACTACCATAGCACTAGCAGTGAACTAAGGGGAAATTTGACTGCTACAGTAGCTGAATAACACAGAACATCATATATGGATGGATGGATGGAAATCTGCCTTGTAGCTCCTGTATAAAAATAAAGAAGCAAACTTCATACACCAAACATATTTGGCTGATTGACTAAAAATTAGATTAAAATTTTGTATGTTTTAGATATTGAGTGTTTGAACTGTACACAATTTATGATCAGAACATGGGGGACACTTTATACTTTATACTAAAAGTAGTAGAAACAACTTCATATTGTGTGTGTGTTGGAAAAACCAGCTGTTATTGTGTGCCCATTTGTGCCCCAACTGAATTGGCCATTAAAGGAGAAATGCTGAACCAGCTCCATATAACAGCAGGGCTTTATGGCCTTTTCCTGCCAAGCAAATAAGTATAAACAATGAGGAGAAAGGACAGCTTTCGCATTACTGTCAACCAGTGCACAATAACACATGATTAAGCGTTGAGTCAATCCACTCTTCATATCAGCAAAACTAAGTGAGCTTGTGTCCCATCAAACCATCACGCACATGGACTCATTGGTTCTTAGGTGTAAAGTACCTCATGGACCTGGCTTGTAACTCACTCACTCATGTTTAGCAGACTGATGATTCTCCACAAGGGGCGCTATTAGAACTCAAGTAGTTTTTGGTGCTTTTAGACAGTTATTTTGGGTGTGTTTTTTAGAGCTCTAAGTGACAATGAGTGTCGATTCTGTGACAGTTGTGTTTGACCAGTGGTTTGCACCATTTCTAACCACACCTCTACATTCTGGCTCTGCATGCTTGGTTCTCTAGCAAGAACAGTAAACCGAATCAACCTTGGTAATCTGATACGGCACGTCTCTCTTGGCAGAGGATCTGTAACCACACCGTACCACACTGCATGGTGGCAAAACACCATGTGTTCTCACTATACTGGGTGCCTAAAAATACCTCAGTGCATTATGTCAATCTGAAGGTACCAATTCAGATGCATTGATTTCAAAATGTTCAAATCAATTATAATATAGTAAAATAAAACTGTCAGGCCAAAGACCCCAAGGATTTTATTTTGTATCATATCAAAAGAACATTAAACTGTGGTGAAACGCACTGAACTGTTTCCTGTTTCAGATTTCCAGCCATATAGTGTTTTAGCCTTGTTTTCTTTTCAAGTTCTAAATGTGCAGAAATTAACTCTATGACTGGATAACACAAAATAGCTGCAATGCCTCTGGAAAGTAAGGCTTGACCAACTGGCCAATTCAATGATTCCACAGAATTTTTCGGTATCAACAAAAATCCGGTCAACAAAGCACAGATATTGACTTGTATAACATAACTGAATGCACGCATTTCACTCATTTCAGAATAAAATTATAAAATACAAAGTTATATCAGCCTCTACTGGTCATCACAGTGGTGTCCAGAAAGGCCTGGAGTGGCTGCATGTTTTTGTGTTCTGAACTAGGTGGAGCTTACTCTGATTCTACTGCTTAAAATCAACTGATCTTAATCTTTTTCTGCTTTGTTGTAATGAAAACCTGCACCAGCCCTTTGCAGATAAGACTGGACAACCCAGGGTTATCTGAATGTTTAGCTCCTTAAAATCAGTATCTGCCGGTAAAGGTGGGCAATTTGAGCCATATATGTGCCCACCCATACTATTTGGGTTCCCCAGCACAGATGGAGAAATTACCAGTATAATGTTTTGCACTGTACACTTGAAAGCGCACAGCCAAAACATTTGTACATGTACATTTGGACATGTGTACATGAAAAAGGACACCAAGCAGTGCTGTCAGCCTGAACGGAGCTGCTAGATTCAAGCAGAGCATAAATGGCAAAAGTCAATACGCTACACTGGACTTATTATTAAAACCATAACTGGAACTTTGGTAAAGGTTTTTTTGGGCACAAATAACATCTCTTTAAACATTATAGAAGAAAATCACATTCAGGAATGAAGTAATATTTGTAACAGTGTATTAAACCAACCCCCCAGTGTAGAGGCTGTACTTTAGTCACAAATATGACCAAATAAACGAGTCACGCAAGCCTTTTAATGTGCCGTGATAAACCTGAGAGCCATGTGTAAGAGGACCTGATTATTATTAAGGTTCTGCAGATTTATCCATCTCCAAAATCCTACTGAAATCACTAATAATGTCTCTTTTAAAAAAGGATTAACTACATTCAGAGGGGATGTTTTGAACTAAAATCCAACATTAGCTGCTAATGGAGAGAGCAAGAGTTTGAGTGTGTTTGTTATTTGTTAATTTTTGAGGTGAAGTTACAAATTTGTATGTATGTAAAACAAGACATGTTTACATCAGGATTTTCTGCTGTCCGATCTTCAAAATATTAAAAGTTGCTTTTTGGATGGTCTCTCAGTTGATCAGAATTTTATTCAGAATTTTAGTTCCCAAAACACACACAAAAAAAAACAAAAAAAAAAACATTGGCAACAAACTGACCCAACATCCCAAGCAAAACCTGGATATGTTCAACTTCGACAACCATCTTCTTCCAGTCTATTTTCCAGTCGATAAACAAGAAGTGAAGTGCGCATGTCTGCATTAAACACAACCAGATCAGTAACAGCTCCCTTCAACTTCTTTATTGATGTACGGAACTTGAAAAAATACAAAGTATTTAAAACACAAAGAAAAAGAAAACATGTACATCTTCTGGTAATACTTTTGTTTTAAATACTCAACAAAAAGATATATTCTATACCCCAAAAAACAGCCGTGAATAAAGTCATACTGTACAACTTCAAATAAATAATCATCCACACACTACAGGAGAACTGTGACTACAGAGGGGACCGAGAGCCAGTTTTTCATGTGACTGAAGTGAACAATCTCACAGAGCCGTGTGATTTTTGCTTTAGGCCTCTTCTAATCGAATGTACAGTAAGAACACTAATATTAGCAGCTTGCTTGCGTTATTGTTTTGCATGCCGTCATACATTGAGAGACGTCTACAGAACCCACTGTGAACCAAACTGGCATGAAAACTGCTCCCTGTCCCCGAGCAGCAAAAAGTCACAGTTCATCAATACTGAAAAGGTTTAAACCAAAAAACAAACCCAAAAAGTAATTTAAAATTAAAATAAGAAAAGCGCAATCGTAAAGATAAATATAATGCATAGCACACTGCCGTACATACAGGGGAGCCTGAAGTGTTCTCCGATTAATGCCTAGCAAAAAGAGTGGCATATAGAGGCCCTTCTGTTAATTCACGAATAAGCAACACTTTGTTGCGTTGCATTGAAAGGGCCTTTTTCTGTTGCTACGGTAACGGAAAAGCGTCGCCAGCCCCCCTCGTGTAAATTAAGCAATATACACTTGTTTTTACGCTGTTTTTTCCATTTTTAAAACAGGTTATATGCATTATGTATAGTATGAATGAACTAAAGTAGGTTTGTTCCAAACTGTGGCTCGTCAAGCTTTACCACAAATATATTTAAATGTCTATAATATATATGCATATATACGTAAAAATAAAGAAAAACAAATGCCTAGAATTTTTAATTGCAGAAGCAAGACTATCTACAGACAAAACCACCAACAAATCTGATACAGTAATAATGCATGTCCAAATGACAACAAAAACAATGAAACTCAATGTAAACAACTTTCTCAAACAAAAATAAGGCAATATTATTCAAGAAAAGAAATACCACACATACTTGCAGTGAAACAAAAAGCAAGTGGGGAAAAAAAAAACAAATAAAAAAAACATTACTCAACATAAAGTACTTATTTACAGTAAGGTTAACTCTGGAGATATTCTCCCTTAACACTTCATTCTGAAAGTAGATTTTTCTTCTTTCGTAGGCTTCCTCAGCCCATTTTCGCCTTCATTCAGAGCAGGTAAAACCTTTGTCTATTTATATAAAGACAAAAGTCTTTAACAATATACTGAAATAGAGCACAAAATAAACACTGTGGGAGTCTCCTCTGAAGGGAATCCTTGAGGAAGAACAGATTTTTCACCGCTCTCAACACCTCCATTTACCTAAAGATTCCCCTGATGGAACTCTGCATGCACGAACTTGGAATAAAACCTCTATCTCTGCCCGTGTTTTCAAAAAAAATCTGAATCTGAAGTCGCTAGCCATGTGTAACAACTCTGGTGGTCCTCCAGATTTTTTTTTTTTTAATTTTTACATATGAAACCAGGACCACTGGCTCTAGAATCTAAAGGTTAATACAAAGATCGCAAAAGGTATCTTTGTCATCATAAATCTTTCCAGAAATTTCAATCTCTGCAAACTTTCTGGTAAAGTCTCAAAAGCTCACAGGGTGTCATATGAAGATAGTTTCTCAAAGTATCCAAGTCAAAATATTTGTTCCATGTCCAGTAAAAAGTTTCTCCAAATTTTTTCTTTTTATAAAAATAGACGCTTTTTAAACCCACTTCAAAGAGGTTCGTAGCTCTTTGGCAAGGTACCGCTTTAAGAATTTTTTTTTGTCTTTCATCTTTTTTTTATTTTTTCTCGATTAATTTAACAATAAGTAACGACTAACTGATAATACGAACAAAACATTTCCTCAAAACAACCGTAAGATGAAATCGTTCACCAATATTGTTAAGCGCATTAAACAAAAAATAATAAATAAGAACATGGGGAGAAAGAAATAATCAAAAGAAAAAATTATCGGGCACAATCGCCACCCACGCATGCTATTATTCAACTTTTTTTTTTTACTTTTTTTTTTTTTAAAGATTAGCAAAGAGAAAAGCAAGGGGGCAAAAAAAAAAATAAACACTGGATACTAAACAGTATTTTCTTCTACAACACTGATTTGCAAAAATGATTTTGTTCGTTTTTGTGTAGAAAGTTCACCTTACATTTCAATTTTTCACCCCACCCCTCACTTTTCCCATCCCGGAATTTTCTAGAAACAATCAGGAGTTGGCCGCCGTGGTTTAAGCTTTGTGCGTTTTGTTGGTTTTGAACGAGACCTGTAAGACTCGATCCCCAAGGCGGTATCCGTTCAGGCTGGCGATGGCCATGGCCGCCTCGTCGTAGTTAGTCATGGTGACAAAGCCGAACCCTTTGCACTTGTTTGTATTGAAGTCGCGAATGACCTTCACGTTCGTCACGGCGCCGAATGGACCGAACATTTGCCAAAGGATGCTCTCGTCGGCGTCAGGCGCAAGGTTGTAGACGAATATGCACCAGCCCGTGCCTGCGTGCCCTGGGATGTTGATGCCTGCCAAACTGGTGACCCCATCGATGGCCATAGGAGAAAATCTACTGCAAAAACAAATTACAGCATGGGTATATGTGGCCAAGGAGCCAAGAAATACACATGCAATGAATACTAGTCAAAGTAAACGTTTATGTGATCAATCATTAATGCTACGAACGTCATTAACACATTTTCCTAATTTGACCTTTTGAACCATTCATAGTACCACAGGCTGAAGTCCGGCTGGGGCACGCTGTATGTTGCTGACTGTAGGGCTCTCGTTCAAATACAGCTTTTCAATTGCTTTTAAAGTAAATCCTAAACTACAGTAGGCAGTGCTTGCAAGAGAACTATGGATAAAATCAACCAGCAGCATAACAGTCATGACAAAATGGAGCTGCAGTTTCCTCAAGAGCCTCCATTGGAACAAGAATCCACAAGCTGCATCAACAAGAGCGAGGGGCTACAATCAGAGTTAAACCACAGTGTATATCTGACACTGCTGCTCTCACTGAACACTGGTGGTAAAACTTGAAACTGTTCACTCTGTGGAGATCTTGTCATTTTCACATTCAAGTTCTGCTTCAAACAAAAATGTTACCAGATGCTTTTAAATGCATTGACAACCCTGGGGTAATTTTGCAAATGTTTTTCTATTTTAGTCAATTACAACTGCTTACATGAGATGAGTCACGTTATTCTCAGGAGACCATGGCTTTGATATCTATGAATTTGGGCATTCTTTTGATGAATTTTACTTTGCTTATACAGACTTTGAGGATAGTTGTCGGTCTTTTGAAGAGTTGCTAAGACTAGAAATTGCAACAAATGTGGTTTATTCTACTGTGTATTTCCAAGTTAGTGATTTTTGCTCGTTTCTCAAGCCAGACTACTCGCTGATGCTTGGCACGCCTCGATGCTCCCACTCTGGCTACATATGGCAAGTTCTAATTGTTGTAATATGTATGTCAGGTCTATATATTTTGAAGGCTAGAAGGCACTCAGTCCACAAAATACAGGCCTTGGGTTTAGACTGAAGATGAATTTAGACAAATAAAAACGCAATTAATCATGATTGAGAGAGCTTATGCATAGGTCCTGCTTTTCAACCACATTTCCTCAGGGCAGAGTCTCTAAAAGCTCAGACAATGTTTTACCAATTTTTTATGGTTTTGTAGGTTTAAAACATATCCATTCATAGTGGAGTGGTTGTGAGGCAAAATTATCCCTGAAGAAAACTTTTTTTTTCCCCAGATGTACCATCATTTTACCATCAACTTTACATATAAAGAGAGTGTAGTTGCACTGGGGGTTTTGAAATATAAATGGCTACATTTGTGTTGTGGACATCATGATTGTTGGTTCCCAACATTACCACTGTAAAGAAATCCGATTCAGCAAGTTTCTCTACAATGAACTATTTTACATCAAACCACTTTGAATGACTAATCTCTACTATTGAATTGTGAATAAACTGTTTGCTTTAATTTAATTAATAATTAATTTGTAGTGCCCACTGCGTTAACGTTTCATGACAAATGAAAACATACGATCCACAATTATGTGGAACAAATTCTTGCTGGCTTTGTGTTTATTAAAATATTATAGTGGTTCTGTCAGTGACTGTATATCTCCACTTAGACATTTACAAGGCTACCAACAGTTTTATTCATCCAGAACTGAATTCAATCTCTCTAAAAAGAAAAACTCCAAAAATCCATAAATAACGAGTGCATGCGAAAGGGGGTGTAGTGTGCGGTTTGACTCCAGTATGGCAGGCCATGAATTATTTCAGCAGGTTTCAGATTAGATCACATGCTTGGCTGAGCTTCGCTCAGCATTCGCAACCTGACAGGTATGCTCCAAACGTCAGACAGTGAGAGAGAGCGAATATTTAGGAATAAGGTGCGCTCCATTTTGCTCCACTAAAGCTACAGTACGAGTAACAGGTCTGCAGTCACGACTGACACCGCAAACTAACGCAGCAAAACGAAGAGGATCCCCCTTTAAGTTACCCTCACAGGTCCTGCAAAACTACAATGAGGTCGGTTTAAGGGCTGGGCATCATGAAAACGCTAACAGATACCAGTACTAATACCTTGTTTTCAATACCAACTAATTAATAGCAGTCTGGAAACTGAAACCACAAGAAAGTTCTCTTTCTTTTTTATTTGCAGTTTTATTTATGGTTCTGAATAAAACATACTAAGATAAAATGTACAAGGTAATAAAAAAAAAAACAGATTTTAACTTGGTTATCAATCTAAGCTGATGATAAACAGCTTACATAATCTTACAGTACGTAGGTTACAAAATGAACAATGAAAACACAAATGAAATCCAACGTCCTCAGCAAGAGGAAACGTTTGTTAATCACAGACAATGAATTCAATTATGCAGAGCAGGACTTTGTTCATAAATAAGTTTTCTTTGAGGACTATTTTGCCTCAACACTCTACATGGATTATAAAAATGTTGAAGTGTTTTAGGCCAAAACCTTTTCACAAAACACCGCTACTCTAGAACGGAGTGTTTCATATCAAACCGCTCTGGATGAGTTTGTTCGCAGCTTAGCTATTTAATTACACAGACAAATCGGTTAAATTCTCCACAGAAAAAAAAAGTGCTGTAGTCTTTCTATTCAGAGGACAGCATGTGAGCTTAAATGACTTGTGAGTTGTGATTACACCAGTGTTGTTAAACCTTAGCATTATAAGAATGAATATAGCTTAATGTGGTGTAGCGTAATGGCCTAATAACAGACTACCTATATCAGCAGCCTGGAGGGGAAAATCCAATGTTTTGCTCAGTTACAGTCCGTTTCCTATGCTTGTTAAGACTCAGTATCGAAGACACATTTGCTCAGCCTTTGTAGAAAACTACTGACTCAGGACTGCACGATTTGGGGGTCAAGGGGGGGGCTTGTTGCCAGGGGTACCAGAGACCAGTAGGAATCATGTGACCTGTTAGAAGCCATTCTGCTGCCACCATGAATCAAAATCGGTGCCAGAGTCTAACACAAACACACACCCCCTTACGCTGCTACACAGATGACCGCAAGTTTCTGGCGCTTTGCTTCACTGCTTTAACAATTTTGTCTTTAAAGACATTCAAGCCAACACACCAAAGCAGCAGGTGAAAGTTAAATGAGTGAATGCTGTTGAGGTTGAAACCACTTAACATTACATACTAAAGATGATTCGAATAAACATGAACATGCAAAATATTCAGAAGCAGTTCTCTCACATAACGATACACACCAGATGAGACATTTGGGCAAAACACATGGGCAAAAAAAGACTCGTTTTGAAAGGCTCTGCCTTATTCAGGAGCTGAAACTGAGCGGCTGGGTTAGTGCAGGGAGTAATATCGCAAGAGCTGCAACCACTAATTGACATTACTGATAACAGTGATAAATTCTTGACAACAAATCATGTTATTTTACTCGGCTTGACGTCTGCGCTTCCCATTTACATCACATGAAGAGGGCAATACAGATAGCTGACACAGAACTGTGCACGACAAAAAACACATTAATGAAAACACTCATCTAAAAGGATGTTTTTCTGTTTGAGCTGTAAAGTGTAAAACCGAGCTCAACCGACCGGCGTCAACACTAAGTGCAAGTATGAGAGATGAACGAACACTGTATCCACATTAGAAACTCAGCATGGTGAGACACTACTTTACTAAAATCATTGTCCGTTTTTCAGCTATTTCTGCTTTGGTTTAGCAGACACCATACGCAGTGTGGGATGACCGGACGAGCTACATTTTGAAACTGCTGGTCTAAACTGCTCAGCTGAACTACAGGGTTATCAGTAGTGACTCCAGGTTTAAGTCTTTTGTCCATACGAACACAGAGCTTTAGGTTAAAGGTTTTTTTATATATATATATATATATATATATATATAAAAAAAAAGATCATTATTTTGCAAAAGGACATGCTACATTGAAATATTTTGTTTTGAATAATTGTACTTAAGCTAAATCAGTGTAGTATTAATTAGAGCTCTGCAAAATCATTAATACCTAAATTAGGCATGCACCAATGCCATTTTTCAGACCGAGTACATATTTAAGACTCACCGATAGAGTCCGATATCATAGCGAATTACCTACTTAGAATTAATTAGCTGTTACTATAACGGAGTGCAAGGTACCTTCACAGTTAAATCATTCAAATCTAGCTGATTTTAAATTAAGTGCATTAGCTAGCTATGCAACGAGTTACCTTGGAACAAGGAGCATTGCAAGTAGCACTGCAGCGATCATACAGTTTTGTTCCATGTCAGAAAAGCACTTCAGTACAGCTCTAAGCGAAGTATGTTTCATAGTTTAGGTTCTCATCAGTCTCTGCAACACAGTCACAGTAGCAATCACATCTGAGGAGCTAACTTGGAGTTTTATCTCTCAAGTATTTACAAATCTTGTTTTTTGGTGAGTTACACCAAGTTTGAATAGCCTGTCGAGTACAGATAAAGCCTTATGATTTATAGGCTCACACTGTATGAAATTGCTCAGTCCAACGCAGTCCCTACAGACAGTTCTGTCCATGAACACATTCAAATGAAGCTGTTTCATTCAGAGTAACACACTACGCACAGAGTACTGAGCAAACACGCTGAGAAACTGAGCTACAGCAGCTCACCTAACCACAACGTGCACTGAAACGTACATGGTAGGACAACAGTCTCTACAGCATATTTTATAAAGACAGTACCTCAGTTTTACTCAGAGTAAAGTAGGCAACTAAACTTTGAAAGTAAACGTCGACCTTTCTCACCTCCGTTTTGCTGGCCTACGTGTTTCCACCCGTATTGGGGAAGTGGTTGTGATTGTGAGAGTTTAAAATCAGGCTAAAATTACACAGTGGATTCCTGGCAGGAATATGACAAGGCAGAATATCTGAAGTGGCCCAAGGCTGTGTGTGACTTTTTGGAGGCAGTACCACTAAGCGAGCAGACCATCAATCACTGCCAGTTTGAGTTGTTTGTTCATAGTGCAGCAGTGTACACTAGGCTTACGCTACACAGTGCCAAGCGGGTATTGGTTGTTGGTAACTGAATTTTTATGAATACAAGTAAATGAGCCCAATACTAGTATCAGTATCCCAACATAAAATACTGAATTAAATCTTGACCTCAGAAATGAAAATCCATTTACCTTTTCACTCCATAAGCCATGTTCAGCAGGTTGTCCAACCTGAAAGGAAACAAAGCCAATTAGTTCAGCAATTCTCACAGCAGGAGACAGTAATGATAATTACTGAATTAAAAAAAAAATAGGCAAGACTAAATAGCAACAAAATTAGCAGTTACTTGATTAAACACATTAAAAAATAAATACAATTGCAAACAATCTATATGTACATCTATGTACAGTTGTTTCTAGGCCTTATACTTTCATAGTCTCTCAAAGTCTATTTTAAAAAGAACAAAGGAAAACAAACACAAAATGTTCAAAAACTGAAAATATACATGATGGAAAATCTGAAGCAGACAAAACTGTTTACATGAGCTAGGAAAATCATTGTCACTTGATGTTAGTGAAAACCACATCATGAACTAATGCTGAAGACTGAGAGCACTGTCAAAACACTTAGGAGGATTCGTCATCTCTTAGCAAACATCAACACTAAAGAATGTCATGTAGAAGTGCATTAATATTTATCTAAACGGGTTTAAAAATCATGTTTACTTGATGGAGGAAGGAGCATTTAGAGACTGTGATTGGCGTCAATCATAACTTTGCAAATGGTCAATAAATGGTCAATACCAGCACCTCACACTCATTTCTGGTTTAAGCCACAAACTCCTTTGGTTTGTAATTTAAAAAAAGACTTGAATGTTCAGGAATCAGTATTTAAGTCAATTTACTGGTATCAAAATTTTAAACTTTCAGCCCTTAATAAATACAAATGCTCCCACTCTTCTTCCTCAGGTGTGTCCCATTACCTAAATCTCTGTGCCTGCTGGGCGAGGGGTCCAGGGTATCTCCTGTTTGGACTCTGGTAGAGTTGAGACAGCAGAGCCTGGCTAGTCTTCTGGCTCGGGTTATTGGCGAATTTCACCGTGATGGGCTCCGTGGCGCCGGGCGGTTTCTGACCATTCAGACCCTTTATCGCCTCCTCCGCCTCCACCCGCCGGTCAAAACGGATAAAACCCACACCTCGAGACACACCTGGACACAGGTAAACAAACACCAATGTTAGGAACTCACTGTTGTCTGTGCTGGCGGAGTACTACAGTGACCTCATTCACAGGTCACTGTAGTACTGATGGTTAATCCATCAGTGTTTGGCAAAATGCTCAATATTACTTCATCAGAAAAGGTAATTAGCTACTAAAATATATAATCAAATTGAGATGAGTTATCTAAACCTAAAAGTTAAATGAAAATACGGAGAATGTGTTTGTGTTTTAAAGTTTAAAATTAATTCTTACCTGCCATCTTTATCCTAAGAAAACTGAACCTAAAATTGTTGGTTTGTTCACCAATGCTTAACTTTTTTGGGACAACAGCTTGTGTTTGTTATTGTTTGCACTTGCAGTGTATAATGTTCTAAAAAGCCATGCTCCTCCAATAAAACAGGGAACTGGACTTGACTGAAACTTTCACATCAAAGTTGAATTTGCCAATCAAAAATGCACACTAAACAAAAAGAAAAAGGATGTGACATTGATTATTTCAATAACTGATCAATCTACTTTATCTACTTCTATTAATCTACTTGCTGTTGCCATCATTCAGAGCTTTGTCTGTGCAACAAACTTTCTCCTTTACGGTGCACTGAATCACAAGAAGCCTTACGCTTGGTGCAGTGTATAACAATCCTTTAGAATAACATTATAGAGCAGATTTTAAACAATAAAATAGAAGCCATATTGGCCCCAACACTTCTTATTGTGTGTTAAAAAAAAAAAAATTATAAAATCACCAGAAAAAGAAGGATTACATTTTTACAGTTAACTTATCAGCGCATCTTCTGTGACGTGAAAGCTCATGGGCAAAAAAAATGCATCTTTTCTACATCACCCAGGACACTACAGCTACTTCACCAGTTGAGTAGTAAAACAAGTGGGTCATCATGAATAGTTATGCATGTAAAATGGTAAAATGTTTATTAACAGCAGACTCTGGGCAACTCTTCATCCTCTAGGTACAAGAACAGAGCCCAGATATTACTGAGTAACAGAGACTTTGTCCTTAATCTGAGCCAAGAGCCCTGACTGAGCGTTTACACTGAAAACAGAATGAAGAGACTGAAAAACCTAAGGATGGAGAGCATGCCAGAACATGAAACAGAGGGAGTGCGAGGAGAAAAAAAAAATAAAAATACAGGGAAAAAGACAGAAAAAGAACGCTGAGAGAAAGAGAGCAAGATACAAGAAACCATGCATGAGGGAGAAAGCAAGTGAGAGGAGTGACAAAAGAAAGATGAATAAAAAGAAAAAGCAAGAACATAGGACAGGGCGAAAGAGAACAGAAAAAAGTGAAAGAAAAAGGAAGAGAGAGATAGAGAAGGGAGGGGGGGAATAAAAAAAAAAATTCAAAAAAAAAACCTTGGCATGTTGGAAATCATGGAGATCAGACTGACTGCAAATTCATTTTAAATCTCTCTGTGAAACAGGCATTAAACCAGCACCTCAGGGTAAGGAGATGGAGGGGGAGTAAGAGAGTGAGCAGGCGAGTGAGAGAAAGAGAGAGAGGTGGGTTTCATTACTGAGTCTGCCATTCTCCGCTCCAAAATCCATTTCACATTTCATCTGTCCATGCATATTTATGACTGAGGGTGGTGAAAAATTGCATTTTTTGGGACCAAATAGCAGCACCTCTAACGTCCTCCAGCAGGAGACCGAGTTATCAGCATTTCTGGTGCGTTTCAGTCGCTTGAATGTGGCGCTACATTAGCAATGCATTAACCTAGTTTAAAAAAAGAAGTATGACTACTGCTTCTTACTCTGAACATATACACAGGCTGCATCCACAAATGCTGGTTACATATAGTAGTATTCAAAAGTCAGAAAGCATCCTAGATTTAATTTCCATTCTAAATGGCCATTAAGTACAAGGTATTCATTTTTAAGGAGACTGTAGAACAGGAGTTTCTAAAAAGGGAGATCAAAAATAAAAGCTCGAGAAAAATGGGACTCCTAACAACCATGCAAGACCTGGTAGACCATCAAAACTGTCCCATCAGATAAACAATACTTTCATCTTAGAGAGAGAAGAAAAAAATAAATAAAAATAAAGCTCCACTCTTGATTCAGATCTGAAAACATGCTCAAGTATGTTTGTCCATCCTTTCACTGTGAGAAGATAACACTATGGGTCTGAAAGGATGTGTAGCTGTTAAAGTGAGAGAAGAAAAGACAAAATCAAAAGATGCTGCTGGTGTTCTCTGAACAAAAGACTGACCACCTCAGAGTCCAGACCTCATCAGTGAATGTGTTTGGGATTACTTGAATTGCAAGAAACAAAAAATGCAAAACCAACTTCTAAGATCGGACTTTGGAGGTTCAGTCTTTGGAAGTTGGAAAAACATCCCTGCAGAGCCTCTTGAAAAGAATGGAAGCTGTTATAAAGGTAAAGAGTGAAACCACAATACTGAAGAGATAGTTGTTGAGGCTTCTGTGTAATTTGTTAAATGCGTTTTCTGCTTTCCCTCATCCCTCCTGCCTCCCAGATAATTAAAAATCAATAACTTGCACTTAATTACTGCCTTAACTAGAAAGTAAATAAAAGGTCTCTGACTTCTGCACAGTATTGTACATCAAGACTTAACATGCTACACTAAAATGAAAAGGTTTGGTTTTCAGAAACATCTGTTGGTCTATTTATCATGAAATATTCTTTTACAGCAGCAATGAACTTTTTGTAAGTATACAAAATGGTGACAAGACTTCCGCCAAATGTTTCCTTATAACTGGTGTCAACCTTGTTGACTTCATTTTAGCTCTACCAGTTACTGGATTTCCTCCTAAAGGAGTTAAACAGTGGCTAGCAGTCTAAAATCAACAAGATGCCAAATCAACAGTAGTGTGGATACGACATTCGCACCACAGCTTCATGCCACCTGGACTCGGTATGCGATTTCAACAGATAAGCTCTCACCTGTGACCTGGTCGACAAGGATGCGGGAGGTGATGATGCGGCCGTACTGAGAGAAGAGCTGCTCCAGCTCCTTCTGAGTCATCGTCTTCGGCAGACCGCTCACGTACAAGTTAGCATCCCTGATGGAGGCCGAACTAGGACGGGCGTACGACACCTGCAAATAGATAATACAAAATAAGGCCATCTGATGTGGACAAAATTATGATTATGCTGAAGTTACAATGCTGTTTCGACACGTATACCGAACGTTACAAGATTGAAAAGAGGCGTCACCAATTTGATCCCAGGTATCATTACAGGTCCGATATCAGCAGAAAAAGCTGTATGGAATATCGGAGGGGGGAAAAGCAGAATGAATCCTGTAAGAAATCTATTTGTCCATCAATAACAAATCTATTTTATAGTGTAGGGTAGTAGTGTTTGAAGACTTTGTAGTCTGTCATGCTGAAGGTAAAATTTCAATTAAAATAGCTCATTTTAAAGCAAAGTTAATAAAGATGAAATGTCTGATAATCAGCCAATACTCAGTTTCAATTAAGAAGGTACATTTTAGTCAGTGATTTGCTGTCAGTTTGCTTGATAATGCATATTCCGAATTCTCCTGCTGCTTTTTATTACAGGAAAAAGAGCCTGACTGACACCTATTTATATGCATTTTTCTAAAGTTTACATATATTTAGAAGTTATTTTTAGTTTATATAATATTTTGTTATCTTTCTTCAATTAAGTACTTCAGAATCTTTGAAAGGCTATGTCTGATTCATTGTTCAGTTAAGTCTACTGCCATTGCTTGGCCTTCAAAATAATACAAAGATTGCTGAATTACTAACATATTAGATGGATGCAGCTCTAAATGTGACATGTTTAAGGATTTGCTGTTCATAACAAATTTAAGAACTGCAGCCCTATGTTTACTTTATGTAAGAGCATACAAGTCTTTAAGCATATTGTAAAATCAAAGCCATTGCATTGCCATCTCACTGCCAGAACGTATGGTTCTCAGAACTGAGCAGGTGTTTAACTCTGAATACTTGCACACTGTCAGTCATTTGTTCTCATTTTCTAGTCCTACATCTCCTTCGGCTGAACAGCCTTAATCTTTGAGGCACTAACTTTGCAAATCAGATTTTAGACTTCACAAGATTAAATTCATGCGCGTGAAGCTTTGACAAGACCACAAAAGCAGCTGATAAGCGTCTGTTCTCACTTCAGTCTCCAAGCTAACGATGCAATCACACCCAACAACTGTCTATTGAGAAGGCTTTGGAACAGATGGAGATATTTATATAACACTGACGACTGCAACACCTCTCCAAACTGTGAGCTGTTGCTGCTGAAAAACACCAACCAAATCCCTCCGCTCATAAACAGCCCCAAGAACGAGCATATGCTGAGCTGCTTCTGGCAATTCGACTAACATCAAGGATACCTTTATTAACATGAAATAAACTGAACTCAGGAAGGACTGTGCAGTGTTTTATCTCTGTACTGAAACACACAAACTGATGGGTTTATTTAAATTCTCAAACCGATCCAGGACGACATGGGCCAGAAGGAATCCTTCACATCTTTCCTAATGAGCTGAACATCTTAACAGTTGCTTTATTCATGTGTAAATATGTAGTACACTGGAGTAGACTGGTCAAAAAAACATGGCCATTAAGAATCTGTGGTCAGAATAATAGTGTTGCTTTGAAAAAAAAAAAAGATTTATAAAAGAACTTTACATGAGCTGGTCCCCTGTATCATCCAGTCCAAGTCAGCTACTGTGTAGCTGCTGCAGTGATGGATTCTCGTAACGGCTTATTAAACACCTTATTTAAGACAATATTATGAAGTGCTATTACAAACTGCAGCCAGTGGAACAGCATTTATTATAGGAAGCAGACCAGTTACCAGTTGGCAGTACCAAACACTCCAAAAGTGCGTCCCAAAACACCAAGTGGCCACTCGCGTGCATGATCTGCCTTTTTAGAGGCCAAAATAGCAGCACAATGGTTGTAAATAGTAGTACACCTAAATATTTTAATTGTATTGTTAGGGATGTGAATTCTGACTAATTTTGACATTCACTAATACACTAAGACACTAATATTGATGACTGGATATTCAGTTAGCAGGGAAGTAAAGACTAAAATAAAATACATATATAAATAAATAGGTAAATCAATGAATAGCTGGCAGGACCATTAGCTTACATTTTATGATACAGCACTAGAGATAGACAACAAAAATTCAGTAGCACAAGAATTTAGCAGCACACAGAGGAAGAGAGAAATACAATTTAAATTGTGTTTTATTATTCAAAAACAGCTCAGGGGAATCAGTAGGTTTTTGTTTCAGAGGAATAATGGAGCCTGCCACTTTAGATGAGCTAATGAGTACAACACGATGCTGACGAGGGTCTTTTCTGCTCCGGACAATGTCAACACGTTGGCTAGCCAACATCATCTAGAACATTTATCCTAACTAGCAGAACAGCTGCGATATCTGGCTTGTCAGTGATTGTCCTTAACAACGCAGCCTTTGCAACATGCTTTTGTTAAGATGTTTAACTTATTTTACACTTTTAGAACAGTTATTGTTTCACTGAGTTGTTAACCAGTATATTTTCTGTCTTCATTATAGAACATAACGAATACCTGAACAGTGATGTTATTACTCGAATACTGGTACATGGAACTGTTAACCACGTACTCAAGCACCAGTGCGTGTCCTTTAGTATTTAACGCTCCATTTATATTCCATGCTCTTCAGCTTCTGTATCATCTAAATTTTCCCCTGAAGACTAATAAAGTACATACCTCCATCCATCTAGACAGCTGTCAGATACTTTGGGGAAATAAGTACTCTAATCTCAACTGTAGAACTTCAAACCAGTGACTTAAGTTCTGACTAATTTTTGTGAAATTACATTAACCACAACCTGATCTTAACATATCGCTGTTGTCGGAAGAAAAACTCGCATCTCCATTTTTGACGTTTTTCAGCCCTTTACATTGTGTGTGAATTTCATGACGAATGGACTAAAAGAAACGTCCCAAAATTACTTGGAAAAACGTCTGGTTCCACTAACTTACACTAAAAGTAAAGTACGTTTTTTCCTTTTGGAGAAGTTTTCTTCCAGCAACAGCAATATACTAGATGAACTTTGTAAAGTGGTGCACAAAACACTCCAACACTACAAGTATCAAAGAAATCTCATTTCATGGTAGTGTATGTTTGAAAACAGGAGGACTCATGGGCTTATACAAAAGGCTTTTTTCTTCAGATGATGTTTCAACTAGGTTTGTCAAAGCAACACTGAAAAAGAAATGTCATTGTTTTTGATCCAGCTAAGGCGTCATGGTTACAGCCACGTTACCTCTGATTTCTCATGTCCTTGGTAGCGTGCTGATGTCAAGACACTCGTGCTTTGCAGTAGAAAAGTACAATACCACGTACGCAATCACATTTTATTCATAGTTGACAGCCTGTGTGTTTTCTTGCGGACTTCGTGATGCAGTGTAATGAATACCCAAATTGCGATTTCAGTATCCAAATACTAGAACAGGTAACAACTCTTGTGCATCGCTACTTCAAACACAAGTGGACCAGCTCAGGCACCATTGGAGAGTCCAGCTGAAGAACACTACAGTAAAGAGCCCCTCTCCGCCTCCTCTGCAGCTCTGCCTGAGTGACACAGTGCAGGCTTATCTGCCCAAATTTAATTACTGCGCCGGCAGACGCTAAATGCTGCCATGTGACGGCCCTGCTCTGCAATCTCAGCTGAGGGATCACGTCAATAAAAACTGTCCACTTTTAATTAAAGCTCCGAATGGGATCCTCATAAGAAGCTGCAATCGATACATGACACCCAACCTCTTACTTTCCCAGTTTCTGCCTTCCTTTCCTAGATTTTACTAGATATGTAGCCCACGGTTTCACTAAATATATAATTAGAGCTGACAAGCTACCAGATCAGACAAAACCTAATAGGGTTTTCACTAGTTGGCCTGCGCATTTTCTTTATTACTTTCCGTAATGTAGCATAACAAATACCCAAATACTGACTTTAGTATTTGAATACCAACACCTGGATTGGTTAAAGAGGCATTCGGGTCTAAAAAATATCATTTAATATGTTCTTTGTCACATTACACTATGTGGACAAAAGTATCTGCCCATCAAACCTATGAGCTTGTAGGACATCCCATTCCAGAACCATGGGAAGTTGTCACCCCTTTTAAGGCCAACAGGCTCCACTCTTCTGGGAAGGTTTTCCACAGACACTAAAATTGTGCCCATTCCGTCAAAAAAAGCATTTGAGAGGTCAGGCGCTGATGTTAGACGAGAAGGTCTGGTTCACAACTGACATTCCAATTCATCCCAAAGGTTGAGGTCAGGACTCTGTGCAGGCCACTGGAGTTCCTCCACATCAAACTCATGAAATCATGTCTTTATGGACCTTGCTTTGTGCAAAGGCTCAGAGTCATGCTGGAACAGGAAAGGGTCACAAAGCTGGAACCATATAACTGTTTAAAACACCTTTGCATGCTGTAGCATGGAACAGGAACTAAAGGGCCAAGCCAAAATCCTGAAAAATAGCCTCTACCAAACTTTACTGTTGGCACTATGCATTTCAGTAGGTAGTGTCCTCCTGGCATCTGCCAAACCCAGATTTGTCCAACAGACTGCCAGATAGTGAAGCATAATTCATCACTTCAGAAAAGACGTTTCCACTGTTCGAGTGCAGTGGCAGTGTGTTCTGCACCGCTCCAGCTGACACTTGGCATCGCACATCTTAGGCTTGCATGCAGCTGTTAAGACTAAGAAACCCATTTCAAGCTGCTATTGCTTCCAAAAGCCGTTTGAAACTCTGTAGCATGCGATGCAGAGGATAGGTGATTTCTGACCACTACACGCTTCAGCACTCAGAAAGTCACTGTTATCTCCTGCTTCATGGCTGAGTAAGTAGTGGCCGTTAGGGGCAAAAATGCATATCACGGTACAATTAAGATTACTTATGGTTTCATCCTGTGTCATGGTATAGTACATTTACTTTTTCGAATTAAACTATTTGACATTTAAGTAAACCTTGTTTTGTATTATTGTATATTTAACAAAATTAAATCTAATAGCAAAAGAGTAAAAAACAATCAACAGCATACAAATAACAATACTGCTTTCTAATCATAACGAGATGAAGGCGAGTGTATGTAAAACTCAGAGGCTTCTCTGAGCCTGCCAAAAACAGTGCTGAATCTTGTTGAAAGTCATTTGTCATACGTGTGTCTTACACTCAAGCTATAATCTACAGTCCTTTAGTCAGATTCTGCTGGAATTTAGTTAAATGATACAAACCATTCATGCTATTAGTTTTAGCCAAGAAGCTGCGTAGCTAGAGACCACAGTATCAGCTGAAGCAGCTGGATGAGTGCGGAGTGTCAGTCTCCATGCTAGACTAATGGCTAAGAGCTAACTCCAACAGACTGGCTTTTCCATCCACTCTTTCACCCATTAACTCATTATAATCTGATGTCTGCTCCTTTAACAGTAAACTGGGCTAACTTGCCTCAGCCTGCAACTCACATGAGAGGTGAGGTAATCGATGCGCTTTGCACTTTTTGTACATTGCATCAGCAGCATTTATTTGCATCTCAGTATAACAGTGATGACAAAACTAATACCTTAAAAAAGAATTACGGTACACTGGATGAACCAGTATTTCGCCCACTACTACAGAGAGTGGGATTATTATTGATGAGATATTGTTTCCACATGTTCTTTCATAGCTACCATTGCTAGATTGAATACGTTTTTGAAAGTGTTAGTTTTAAAAAAAAAATAAAAATCCCCATTTCGACAAATTAGAAACTTGTGCACAATTCAGACTGCAAAACTTTAAACACGTTTGAAAATTTTAAACTTATTTTCACTTAGAAAATAAAAAATTTACATTCTCTACAGAGAACACGACAATGGCATTTTCTGCAAATTCTAGTGACAATTTCTATTAAGTTGTTTAATATACAAGTTGAACATACTGGAGAAAAGTTTTGCACATGCTACATTATTTGTTTTTAGTTGTGCATTAAAATATATAGGAGTGTGTTCTCAGTATGGGATATTTTAGCTTGTTATCAACAAAATCGACCCGGAGCGCCCAAATGTTTTCATGTGACTGCATGTAGTAATTTCTCCTCATTAGGCTGAACTGGATTTTTACCAACATTCTGCAGGCTTCACCAATCAGGCAACGGTTGCTATGAAACATCGCCTCTGTGGTCAGAGAATATCCAGGTCAATTTTTTTAAACGAGGAGCATTCAAACGCACCATTCATCTTATCTACCCCCCCACCCACCCCATTCATCTTCATAACTTAACCCATCCATCCTCCTCCACCCATTTCTGTCACACCTCATCTACCTCCTTCCTTTCCTCTTGACTTTACACACATTTTCAGCATACTTCATTTCATGCTAATACTTGCAAACTATATTCAGTGGAGCTGACAGACTAGGATTAGCACTTCTAAAAGAGCAGCTGGAGAATTTCAGCTATGTGGGAATGATTTCAGGGGGCAGGGAGAGGGTTCTGCTGTACTTTCAGATGGTGTTTACTTCATACAACAAACTCAACATCATCCTGCTTTCCTCCCCAACAGCATTTGTAGACTGACCGATAGGACCGTAAGAAAATTCAGTGAACAAAAATTCAGTAATTCCGTTATTAACATTACTGCAACGTTAAACAGCCCTAGTTTTTACAATTAAACTGCATTTAAAAAAGAAGTCTCTTATAAGAGAGAGCCCATGTTAACACTTTTCAATGAAGTCTCTTAGTGGTTAATTCCATAAATATGAAAATATGAAGTTAGCAGTACTGTTTATTGTTGAGATGACTAACATCATCCAGTGCCTATTAAAGCTAGTCCTTCAGTTTGGGCCATAAACACCAAAGCCTGCTTTAAAGAAAAAAAAAAATAAATAAATAAAAAAAATAAACCCCAAATGTTTCATTGCTACTTTTGCTAGACACCGAGATGTCTGGTGGTATGTTAGCACTACGTTAACGTACCACTAACATATTGCTTCTGTCTAAAAGACAAGCATCTCTTTTTTGCAATTTTTATTTTCTGCATAATTTGAGCCCAGCAGTTATCTTTTGTCTTTTGCATTTTGTGGAAATTTCATGAAGACTGAACCAACAGAAATGCTCCAAAATTGCACTGATTAAATTGTCTTTACATTAACTTAGACTGAATGTAAAGTACGTTTTTGCCCTATCCTGTGAAGTTACCATAATGGAGATACTGGTTTTTCTTTAGACAGCGACAATATAATGTTGCACTTTAACTGTTTGGCCATTCTAGATTAAACACAGACATCTGTAGGTTGTAAAAGTCACTGCTGCTGCCATTTTCCATTTCTAATGAATAACAAACCTACTTAGACTACAGCTCGTATTCACAGTCAGTGACTTAACTAGAACTTCCAGAAGTCCACCTCCTGAAGTCCCTAACTAATGGGTGAGCTCACTTGGTTGTATCTACAAAGATACTATTGAAAGACTACAGGCTGGACAATTTTTCCCCCTTCAGGATTTTAACCCTTTTGCTTCCAAACAAACTTAACAAAATGAAGTGAAGAAATGAGTATTACTGCAATGCTGTGAGTTTAAAAGTCACTAATTTCTTAACTCTGAGCAGCATTTCATTTGCAAGAAAAAGAAAAATGTTTCTTACCTTGATTGTTTTGGTCTGCAGTCTCAGTCCATTTAAAGTGTTGATTGCTTTCTCTGCATCTTTAGGGTCCACATAGTTCACAAATCCATAACCCAGACTCTGCCCTGGAAAACAGAGGACAAAAGAATACCCAGTTCTTCAATGAAAATCTGGTGAAAACTGAACAGGAGTCCTTTATTTAATGATCCAACAGAAGCAGGTTTCCTTAAAATACTGGCAGCAAATTCCACCTGTTCAATACAAGAGATGGTAAGAACTGTTTTAAAATAAGGGCAGTGAATATTTTTCATTTTCAAATATTCAGTAAACAATGTAAAATAAATAAATATCTGCTGCAACTCTACTGAAGGAGGAAGATCTCTTTTCTAGCCCGATATTGACATTAGTTTTTAATAGACACCCCCTCCTCGAGACGAAACCCAACTGCTGCTGTGACTCATCAGGCCCTTGAGCTAAGCAATGAAGATCAATGTGGTCTCCTGAATAATTTCAATCTCCAAGTAAAATAAATAAATAAAAAAAAGATTGACACCCACTCCCTTCCACCACATGCTAGCGATGCAATTTCCACTGCCGCCCACACTGTGGAGAAGCTGCCGCCAAGTTCTGTGGGTCAAGTTCACCAGAGCCACCTCCGCTGAAGAAACCAGTCTAATGATCACTGCAGACGGCGCAATTTCAGACTGACGCTGTATCAGACTCCCTGCCAAATCAACTCTGCCAAAAAGAGCAATGGTGGAAATCCTGCTCTTGGGTAGATGATGCTGGTTTGTAGGGATCCCAAAATCAAAGCCACTTTAGAAGTGGGGAAATGGAGGGGCAAAATTTCTCTTTTTTTTTGGTTCCAAAAAATGAATCAAAAATGAATAGAAACTATTGATAACTCCTAAAATATCTTTTTTTTTTCACTCAAAATATTAGCTTTATTTAAGGTATAATGATGAAGAAAAAAAATATTTCTTAAATCTGTTTATGCCAGTTACTGTCACCCTTAGACATTCCTAGGAACACAAATAGCCAGCCTAGACTTCCTGTTTCACTAGGGAGTATACATGATAAACAAAGGCCAAATGCCCTCAGTCATCCATTCTTATTAGACCAGAGAAAACAATGTGTGACAAAGTTGCTGAACTGTACAAATCAGGAAATGGCTACAAGAAAATAGTGGAAATCGGCATTTTCAACTGTAACTAACAGGGCAAAAATTACGAAGTGTCAAACACCACCTATATAACCACAAGCAGCTTGGTGGGGCAGCCAGAAATAAGCCTCTGCTGTCAAGGACAAACAAACTTAATCTCTGACCACAGAATCAAGATTTTGCAACTGCGACCCCAGTCCCCTGACCTAAACCCCACAGAAAACCTGTGGGATGAGCTGAAGAGGAGACTCCACATTGTGGACCTCAGAATCTAAACGTTCGGGAGAAGTTCTGTATGGAGGATCCTTTGTCATGTGTTCTCCAGTCTCATTAAGCATTATAAGAAATGACTTAGAACCGTTATCTTTACAAAGGGAGGCTGCAAAACATGAAAGGCAATAATTGTGTACACACATTGTGTACAAGCATATTGCCTTAAGATTTAGTTTAGTGTTTAATTCCAGTCCCTTTTATGCACCTATGCACATACAGAAGGAAAAGGAGCTAAGAGTGAAGTTCATTCCTTAGTTTATGGTGTGATCTTATAGAAAAATATTGTAATGTTAAATCAATATCACCCTACTGTAGTTCAAAATCTAATTTGGGAAGTAAAATTATGCACATGCACCTTGTCTGTTCACTTTTATAGTCATTTTAAATAAGAACGACACATGACTCTCGTTAAACAGTAAGATTTAATGGAATGACTGATTTGGAAATTCCTGCAGATTTATTAGGTTAAACTTGAAATACTGATTTGGGAAACAAGTCTAATTAGTACCCAACATATAATCAAGTAGATACACAAAGGCAGGCAAAATAGCAATTACTAACACTATTTCCACTTTTGTTTTGAGTTTTGCAGCTCACAGTTCATGGGGAAATACAACAACAAGGAGAAATACTGTCTAACCAAATCACAACCAGTTTTATTTTACCAGGTATGTTAAACATATTGCTGCTGTTGGAAGAAAACTCCATCCTCCATTTTTTCAGTTTTTGACATAGTTTGAAGGTACCCATTGTCCTACACATTGTGTGCAAAGTTCATGAAGAATGGACCAAAAGAAACAGCCCAAAATGGCTTGGTAAAAACTCTGGTTCTGCTGACGTACATTAAAAGTAGGCTTTTTTCCTTCTCCTGTAAAGTTACCATTTTGGAGATACGAGGTTTTCTTCCGACAACAGCGATATGAGGGTTGTAACTCAGTGCATAGGTATGACATGCAATATACTAAAAAGACCAGACCACGATATTCAAAAATAATTAAAAACAATAGCTGCTGTTCCAACAAAACCTCATATCTCCAAAATGAAAGCGAATCTTTGAAGTTAACTTTGGACCATATTTATTGGTGCATTCGTCAGAACGTTTGCTCACAATGTAAAAGGCAGAGGCCATGTTCAAATAAAATATTAATGGAAACTTAAAATGGAAAAAACCAACGGAGAAGCATGGTTTTCATGACCGTGACTACGACATGACTAAGAAGAATACTTAGAATAGATCAAAGCACCTAAGTGCGTGCAGGGTCTAAAAAGACAACATCCTGAAATTTACAATAAGAAAACAGGAGAAAAACATTGGAAAAATGACAATATTGAGAGTGAACTGCAGAGTTTTCATTAAATAGAATCAAGATCAAATGAACAATGCGGGACTTTTTTTCTACATCTTGAACCTTATAGACTTAAAATAGGACGACCCACTTCCAAGCCCACTGCAGGCACTTTACATTTCATGTAACTACTTTTCTGTGTAAACGAATGAAAAAATTACATGTTGACGGTATGAGTCATTGCAAGCCCACTGCTCACTCCTGCGCCGCTAAAACCAACAAGCAGGAGTACATTTCCCCCAAATGTTTCAGCATTTATTCATACACATACTAAAATCCTGAGATAATAAATTAAAAAAAAAATAATAATTCTGCTTTTGTAGATGTTCAAGCAATAAGAACAACCCTATAAGGGCACTAGAGCTAAAATGTAACCAACAGGTTATTAATGTAGATTGTTAAATACACAAATCAAACCAAAAAAGTTCTTTGATGACTCATCAGTAAAGCCCTGTTGACTCCCTCCTACACCAGGACCAACAACAATTTAGAAACGTTCACTCGTCACAGTTCAGCTGCTAATGGCACAACAGACAAAACCAGAGACGGCTTAAAAATACTGTGTGATAAGTAAGGATCTAAATTTAAATAGTTTATCAAAATAAGTTAATGAGTAATGATAGTGGTATACACCACTGATGCAACAAAATGCCAGCTGCCATTGTCAAAGACAGAACTCTAAAGAGATTAATAATTGAAGACAAATACAGGGTGATTCAAAAAGATTAATCTAATTTCAAAGCACCGTATTTTTTACAACCATGAGGTTCCTATGAACCAATCACACACCAATTAAAAAAGGGGGTCATAGTTTCTGACCGTCAGTATGGCAGTGAACCTCCAACAGCTCACCAGCATCACCAGATCTCACAAAGTGCGACTTTTTTGTGGGGGTATGTTAAGGATTCTGTTTAGGTGCCACTCCCAACAACACTGGATGATCTCCGAAATCGCACTGAAAGAGCCGTGAGTACAGCCACACCCGACATGCTCAATCGAGTATGGGATGAATCCGACTATGGCGCTGAAGTTGTCTGTTGGAGGAGGTTCATATTGAGCACTTGTAAATCATTACAGAACAATGCAGTAAATTGTAAATGGTTTAAGTGAGCATAAAGTTTTTACAAGAGAAATAAATCATTTTGAAATCTTGAATCTTTTTGAATCACCCTGTATTTTGAATGGTTGAATGTGATTAAAAAACCTGTTTATTCCCTTCAAATCACACGTTCAAATAGTTTGAGTAACAGCAGATAAACAGTGAAAGTCTGTGTGTCACTTCCGAACTGTTTCTATCAGGAACAAAGTTCGTTCAGATGCCAATACACATTTCACAAATGATAGCCAAATTGCAAAGAACTAAAAAAATAAACTTTGCCTTGGACGGCCATCCAATCTTTGTTGTCTAACAACATTAGATTTCATGACCCATTCTGAAGTGACACAGGGCAATTTGAGCAAGTATTTTATGTAAACCATTTTGTGAACCGCCCCTGCCCCCCCATTATATTCTAAGTGGCTACATAATGTTGAACTTCTAGTTTAAAAAGTTAGACTACTCACTAAACTATGCTGTTGCAGCTAATTGAATCCAAACTGGTAGTTAACATTAGCTCAATTACACAACAATGGAAGACAACACCACACTACAGCCAACTGTTCAAGTTGTACACAAAGTAAATATTTGAAGTCAACAGCACAAAACGTACATATTTTAACAAATTGAGAGGCACTACAAGTTTTTCCTTTTTTTTTTTAAAGAATGAGATTTTTACCAGTGTTCTAGCAACAGTAGCTACGAAAGAGCATATTCTGAGAACATATTTTGGCAGAATAAGGATCAGTGTATTGCCCTACTATGCCAATTCTTTGGGGGTTTTTTGCCAAAAACAATCGATTTTCAAAGCACAAATTTCTACTAAATTCGTCCCTGAGAGAAATACTCGTTGCATCTACCTCTGCTGTAATTGGCTCCTCTGTTAAGTGTGCTGGTATGAAGGCGAGTGGGAAATCTAAAAGGAAGGTGTGTTTTAACAAGGGACTGCAAAACTCAGCTAGGGCCATCAGAAAACAAGAAAGGGGAAAAAAATTCTCTAGTGTGTCTTCAGACTTGAGTAACTGAGCTCATAAGAGTTAAATATCGCAAGACATGTAAATTAAAACATGCATAAATAGACAGACAAAAAGAATGATTCTAAAGATAACAAAATGCCAAAAATAAAAAAGGAAGAAAACGAACCAAAAAGACACAAAAGCAGAGCATAAGAGAGAATGCATCTAGGTCTGGGGGGGGGGAGCCTTGAAACAGCAGTTATGCAGGCAAGCGGTTATGTAAGCAATGAGG